TCACTCTTCGCAGATGATATGATACTATATGTGGAAAACCCCAAAGGCTCCACTCCAAAACTGCTAGAACTTGTACAGGAATTCAGTAAAGTGTCAGGATATAAAATCAATGCACAGGGACGCCTGGGTGGCTCAGTTGGTTAAGCAGCTGCCTTCGGCTCAGGTCATGATCCCAGCATCCTGGGATCGAGTCCCACATCGGGCTCCTTGCTCATCAGGGAGCCTGCTTCTCCCTCTGCCTCTGCCTGCCATTCTGTCTGCCTGTGCTTGCTCTCTCTCTCTCTCTCTCTCTGACAAATAAATAAAAATAAAATCTTTAAAAAAAAATAAAAAAAAATAAATAAAATCAATGCACAGAAATCAGTTGCATTTCTCTACACCAACAACAAGACAGAAGAAAGAGAAATTAAGGAGTCTATCCCATTTACAATTGCACCCAAAACTATAAGACACCTAGGAATAAACCTAACCAAAGAGGCTAAGAATCTATACTCAGAAAACTATAAAGTACTCATGAAAGAAATTGAGGAAGACACAAAGAAATGGAAAAATGTTCCATGCTCCTGGATTGGAAGAACAAATATTGTGAAAATGTCTATGCTACCTAAAGCAATCTACACATTTAATGCAATTCCTATCAAAGTACCATCCATTTTTTTCAAAGAAATGGAACAAATAATCCTAAAATTTATATGGAACCAGAAAAGACCTCAAATAGCCAAAGGAATATTGAAAAAGAAAGCCAAAGTTGGTGGCATCACAATTCCGGACTTCAAGCTCTATTACAAAGCTGTCATCATCAAGACAGCATGGTACTGGCACAAAAACAGACACATAGATCAATGGAACAGAATAGAGAGCCCAGAAATAGACCCCCAACTCTATGGTCAACTAATCTTTGACAAAGCAGGAAAAAATGTCCAATGGGAAAAAGACAGCCTCGTCAATAAATGGTGTTGGGAAAATTGGACAGCCACATGCAGAAAAATGAAATTGGACCATTTCCTTACACCACACATGAAAATAGACTCAAAATGGATGAAGGACCTCAATGTGAGAAAGGAATCCATCAAAATCCTTGAGGAGAGCACAGGCAGCAACCTCTTCGACCTCAGCCGCAGCAACAGCTTAGGAACATCGCCAAAGGCAAGGGAAGCAAGGGAAAAATGAACTATTGGGATTTCATCAAGATCAAAAGCTTTTGCACAGCAAAGGAAACAGTTAACAAAACCAAAAGAGAACTGACAGAATGGGAGGAGATATTTGCAAACGACATATCAGATAAAGGGCTAGTGTCCAAAATCTATAAAGAACTTAGCAAACTAAGTTCTAAAGAACAAAAGAACTAAAGAACAAAGAATCCAATCAAGAAATGGGCAGAAGACATGAACAGACATTTCTGCAAAGAAGACATCCAGATGGCCAACAGACACATGAAAAAGTGCTCCACATCACTCGGCATCAGGGAAATACAAATCAAAACCACAATAAGATACTACCTCATACCAGTCAGAATGGCTAAAATTAACAAGTCAGGAAATGACAGATGCTGGCGAGGATGCGGAGAAAGGGGAGCCCTCCTACACTGTTGGTGGGAATGCAAGCTGGTGTAACCACTCTGGAAAACAGCATGGAGCTTCCTCAAAATGTTGAAAATAGAACTACCCTATGACCCAGCAATTGCACTACTGGGTATTTACCCTAAAGATACAGACGTAGTGATCCGAAGGGGCACGTGCACCCAGATGTTTATAGCAGCAATGTCTACAACAGCCAAACTATGGAAAGAACCTAGATGTCCATCAACAGATGAATGGATAAAGAAGATGTGGTATATATACACAATGGAATACTATTCAGCCGTCAAAAGAAATGAAATCTTGCCATTTGCGACGATGTGGATGGAACTAGAGAGTATCATGCTTAGTGAAATTAGTCAATAGGAGAACGACGACTATCATATGATCTCCCTGATATGAGGGAGAGGAGATGCAACATGGGGGTTAAGGAAATAGGAGAAGAATAAATGAAACAAGATGGGATTGGGAGGGAGACAAACCATAAGTGACTCTTAATTTCACAAAACAAACTGAGGGTTGCTGGGGGGGGGTTGGGAGAGGATGGTGGGATTATGAACATTGGGGAGGGTATGTGCTATGGTGAGTGCTGTTAAGTGTGTAAACCTGGAGATTCACAGACCTGTACCCCTGGGGATAAAAATACATTATATGTTTATATAAAATAAAAAAAATAAATTAAAAAAAAGAAAAAAAAACTGGTTGAAATGGAAAAAAAAAGCTTATTCAGGGGCATCTGTGTGGTTAAGTCAGTCTGACTCTCTATTCTGGTTCAGGTTGATATCTCAGGGTTGTGAGATCAAGATCCGCCTTGGGCTCCAGGCTCAGTGGGAAGACTTCTTCTCTCTTTCCCCCTTTTTCCCTGCCCCTCTCCACACTGGTATGCTCCCTCTCTCACCAAAATAAATAAATCTTTAAAAAATTTTTAAAAAGAGAACAAAAACTTATTCATTCAATCATTTATTCACCCATACAAAAAATATTTATTACATGTTCCCATGTGTCTGGCATAGTTCAAAATAGGGAATCAAGCAGTAAAACTAGACAATAATGCCCACCCTCATGACATTATATTTTAGCAGGAAAACCAACAATAAATGAATAAGTAATATATATACATATGTGTGTAGATATAAAACAAGTTATAAAAGCTATGAGGAAAATTAAGTAAGTGAAGAGGTCCAAAGCATGAGAAGACAGTAAACTGCAGTTAATTAAGGGGCCAGTGATATTGTGAGCAAAATATAATAGGCTTGTACAAATGTAGGGAGGTGACTTTAGACGGTGTGGTCAGGGAGGAATTTCCTGCATTGCTAACATGAGCGGCAACCTAAATGACAGCTATGTCAGTATTTTGGCGAAGAATCTTTAAAGACCCTAAGTGAGAAGTGAGCCTGGAGAGTCTGGAGTGTGGGATGAGCAGAAAGGCCGCATGTCTGGAGCACAGAGAGGGAGCAGTCAGTCAGGCAGAGAGAAAAATCCCAGAGGTGGGCAGGAACAGGTTGTATGGGTCAATGTGCGATTTTCGTTTCTCATCCAGATGGGTATATATAAAGCATTTTAATTTCGGGATACTATGCTTTCAACTTGACCCAAGTAGGTGTGTTACATTTCTGCAACACTCTCGGTGACTATTAATCTGCCATTCCATCAGTCAGACTCCCAAACAAATAATTATTGTGTCATGCATGATGCTAAATGATGGGAATACAAGAGACACTGCCGGCCCTGCCTTCATGGGGTCTATATTTTTCGTGGAGAAGTTATACACGAAATGATTACACGTATCACAATGTCTAGAAATAGGAGAGATGTATCACTAGCATTTATAATAAAACCGGGTTAACCTAGCCCACAACTTAGATCCAATATATATATAGCAATTATATAGTGTTTCATCTTACATATTTAACCTCAAGAAGTCATTCCAAGTTTCTATCTACTATAACAATAAAATAGATTAAAAGCATCCATTTAAGTGTTGCTTGATAATTTTCTATGTCCTTTCATATACATTATGGTATTTAATATTTACAATAACTGTGACAGCGGTCAACCAGCTATAATTATCTTCTTTTTAAAGAAGCTGAAGCTCTGAGAATTTAAATTATTTGTCTACAGGCATGAAATGAGTTAGTAATGTAGGTAGTCCTAGGCTTTTTCTACACCACCTATATCACTAGAGGCCTGATCTAAGTATAGTAAAACTGCTTCCCCAACAGCAGTAGGCATTTAGTTTGGAGGCAAAAGGAAGAGAGAACATAACATCTTCATGCTTATGAAATATTAGATCTATTTAGGAAGGTGTTCTGATAAGCACCAAAAAATAAATTGTGCAGAAATTCCGTGTGCATATAAAGTTAGGGAATAATCAGTGTGGTATGGGATTGCTCTATAACCTTGTCTTGACAGAAATTTTTAAGCTGGGCATATAAATACATTATGTGGCTAGATTTTGATGCTTTTATGTTCTGAAATTCTGTTTTTTTTTTCCTTTTCCCATTCTCAAAATCACTGCCAATCAATGAATCTTACCCACCATTTCCTCTGAGTTTATTGCTTACTTTAGAAATCTACAGTGTTTCTTCACTGAACAGATTAATCTTAGCTACTCTCTTGCTCCTCTGCCAAAGACTTCTGCCCAGGCACTCCAGAAAACTTGACTCAGCATTCTCTTCCAATTATCTTATTCCCAGCTCTAAGCCCCAGCTCCAATTCTGTTTGAATGACCTCTTCCTAGAATGCTAAATTGTCAACTTTTATAAAAACTTCATTCATTTAACCTTCCTCTATTTCTTAGAAAATCAGTAGAGAATTCTACCCAATATGCGGCACTGAATTTGCTGCCTTACTAAATGAACAATCTCTGTTGCTCTCACAGAGTGCCAATTTTGTTTGATGTCAACAAATGTCTGGCTATACTGATTATTTTACATTATGTTTTATAATGAGCCTGCACCTGGCATAATGTCACATAACAGTACATTTGATATTTTCAAGTAACATCATTGTCTTGTTGCAAATATTACATATCTAATCTCTTTCCCCCTCCCATTGTACCTGCAAATGCTTTTTCTATTAATGAAAAATTATCAAGAATACATGTCAACTACCAAGTGATTCAGACACAAAAGAAAAGCACACTACTTCAATTACATATTTGTGTTTACGTGTCAATGGTCGTTTTCTTCCTGACTGTGAACTAGTGATGTACGGCGGACACTGTCAAACTTTGGGTATGTGGCAACATGCCAGGTCCTGTGCTAATCGTTTGATGTAACCTATTTTATTTTACCTTCTTATCAACTCCACAAATAATCAGTTTGCCACATGACTCTCCATCTAAAAAGTCAGTGAAGATCAAAGGCACACTTACAAAAAAAGTTATGAGAAACATCTTTGTGAAAAATGAAAGACACTTACAGGAACCAGGAATTTTTTAATCTCTTCCAATGCATGACTCATTCGTGAATAAGCTTCCCCAGGTGGAGCAAACACTTCAATTAATACATGAAGTTCATCACTCAAGTGGGCATATTTGGCTTCCCCACTCTTCCTTAATTCTTCTTCCTGTGAAAGAGGTTATTTTTAGAAATACAAATCCACCCATTTTGCATTGACTTAACATTTACTGAGAATGTGACAAAAGGGCATAATCTAAGCAAATTTTCCATAAGTAGAAACCCTTTGAGAAATAAAAATCTGGTACAAGCCATTTAAAGATTGTAAAATCATTTTTGAGTGTTTGAATGATTTTTCTAAAAAGCTGGCATAATTATCATCTACAATGGATTTTAATCAGCTAAATGAAGATGCTAAACCCCTGAAAAGAAGTGACAGAAATGTCTTAAAGTTTGAGTGTACACTACTATATTGAGGAAGAAAAGGATTGTTTTTGTGTCTGATGAGTAATATTTTGCAGATAATAAACAAAAGATTATCACTGTTCTTTAAGAAAACAAGAACTTTTGGGGCACCTGGGTGGTTCAGTCTGTTAAGCATCTGCCTTTGGCTCAGGTCATGATCCCAGGGTTCTGGGATCGAGTTCCGCACTGGGCTTCCTGCTCGGGGGGGAGCCTGCTTCTCTCACTCTCTTTCTCTGTCCCTTTCCCCCAGCTTGTGCATGCTTTCTCTCTCTAGCTCTCTCTCAAATAAATAAAATCTTAAAAATAGTAACATAATGTTAATTATGTTTTACTCTTCCTGACTCCCCTCCCCAGTAAACTTGTAGTTGTTCCACTAAATTTCAAAGGATAAAAATTGAATGACAAAGTAATTTTTAGTTTTATTTGGGGACTGACTAGAAAAGTAACATGAGTAGACCTTAACTAGATAAATAAAAGCAAATTTGCCATTGATCTCTTGTAAGTTAACTATATGAACCATATTAGTGTGCTTAACTGATAGAAATGTCCATCATTTCAATACATGAAGGATCCATGAAAGAGATGGGAAGGTGTGCCTACTTTTCTGTCCATCCCCCATCAAATCAAATGTCTCCAACAGCAACACCTTTCAGCCTGGTAGTCCACTCTCTACATTCCTAAGCATACTTTCCATCTCTACTTAGGAGTTTTTACTTAAAAGGGTTTTCTTAATGCCCATTTCTCAGTTTAGGGAGAAGAAGCACTTGCCTCAACGACTATGCACTTACAGAGTGTAGTAAACATTTCTTTCCTCTTGGGATTCTACTGCAAGGCAAGCTGGTCCTTATCTCTGGGGTCAGCTTCATTTCCACCTAAGTGTTCAGGTGGTTAAATCAGGATTCTTCACACTGCCTCCTTCTCCATACTTCCTGAGCTGATTTCCCGCTGGTATAAAACTTGCTAACCAAATTTTATAGTGTCTGCATGCTATGAGGTATGGCATTCAAATATGAATAATAATACTCATTTTAAAGGTTTTCAAATAAAATGAGCCTGACTAGATACTCTGTAGTTGGGCCACTAGGCTGATTTTCATGAATAAAATGCAGCTTGCTATTTAAAAACACATTTGCCTTTCCCCTCCCCCGTCATCTTTATAGAAGCAGATGAGGAAACTGAGGTCTTTGGATATTAAGAAACTTCCTGGAGGTCACATGTGAGTCAGGATTTCAGCCAGGACCCAGTAAAGTAGGTGTTAGCAGTGATAAAGATTTTAAAGGAGAAAACACAGCAGAAGCAATCGTGAGCTACTACTGGTTATTCTCAAAACTAAACTGCGTATCTTCAAAGGTGTGTTATATTGGAACTCATATATTGGCATAACTTTTGACAGAGCAAAAGTTCCGAGGCCTTCGCTTCTTCCTGTGAAACTTCGATAATAAGAGTGAGGTCCCAGGATTTTGTGGATTTTGAGAAAAGTGAAGAACATTTTATAATCTAAAAATGCTACACATATTTCTTACAGTAATAAATATTATTTCTTACGTTCTCAAGTAGTATTTTAAAATATTGCCGGGTTGTTTCAAGAGAGACCAAAATAAATGTGTCTCAAATGCGAAGAGTTTTCTTTCTGAGGTAGACGTCTAAGCGGTGAGTAACTGGAAAAGCAGGTGGTTCTTGTCTGCAGTCTTATCCAGGAATCCTGGCTCCCCCTCTCTTAACTCTAGCAGCCCCGAGAACATCATTCTCATGTTTGTTGACGAAGGAGGCTGTCTACCATCACTTCTAAATTCTGCTCCAGGGGCCAGGGAAAGAAAATGTAGCAGCAAAAAGCTTATGTCAAGGACACATACCAGAGGTTTCATACATCACCTCTGCTCTCACCTCTTTGGTAAAAGTGTAGTCACATGGTGGCCCGATGCAATGGAAGCTATAAATGTGGTTTCAGACTGAGTAGCCATGAGACTGCACATTCATTTATGACAGAAACAAGTGAGAATGGAGACTGGATGACAACAAGCCATCTTTGCCCCCAGTCTTCATTTAGGGCTAGTTAAAATCATACCTATTCATTAAATCTAATTTTGTGAATAGCTAGCCATTGTCTGCCAGAACGTCCAGATTTTATCTTCAAAAACAAGACTACAAGGGCACCTGGGTGGCTCAGTGGGTTAAAGCCTCTGCTTTCGGCTCAGGTCATGGTCCCAGGGTCCTGGGATCGAGCCCTACAGCGGGCTCTCGGGGAGCCTGCTTCCTCCTCTCTTTCTGCCTGCCTCTCTGCCTACTTGTGATCTCTGTCTGTCAAATAAATAAATAAAATCTTTAAAAACAAAAAAGAAAAAAAACAAGACTACACCCCCAGCTGGATTAGTAACATGAAGCTCCAAGTTTCATTTGAATCTGGGCAGACACCACAGCCATCCCAAATCGCACCAGTGTCCAGAAACCAGTAAGTACATTTATAGTAATTAATAAAATCTCATGAGGTATTTCTTAAACAAGAGTTCCAATGTATTTTGAGGAAAAAAAACCTTTATTTTTGCAGTAAATTCATTATTTGATAAGCTGATTATGAATGGGGCAGTAAGTAGTGTTTTCATGTTTCTGCTAAATTATCTTTTTGTGTGTTTTATAACAAAGATCATAGTATCGTGGCAGGTTACACTAGATAGAAAGGAGAACGTAACAGCAAGAAAAGTAAAGAAAAAGATTAAGAAATTAGAAATGGTAGGGGCACCAGCGTGGCTCAGTGAGTTAAGTCTCTTTCTTCGGCTCAGGTCATGATCTCAGGGTCCTGGGATGGAGCCCCGAAGCATGGGGCTCTCTGCTCAGTGGGAGCCTGCTTCTCGCCCCCCACCTGCCCCTCCTGCCTGCTTCTCTGCCTACTTGTGATCGCTGTCTGTCAAATAAATAAATAAAATCTTAAAAAAAAAAAAAAGGAATTAGAAATGGTAGCGAAAAATCTTGGGTATAAATTGACATAAACTGGTCCGAAGTTACCAGTGCAGAAGACTGGTTCTCCATCTAATGAAAGCACAGAAAAGGGCACAGGGACTAAATCAAAAGAATGTAAGATGCACACATTAGAAGGTGAATCAGCTTGACGTCACTTAGAATTCTGCTTAAAAGACTGCACATTCAGTTGATATTATTTAATCTTCCATGAAAAAGGTACATTTATTCCACTGAGGATATTTACTTTAACCGCTGACCTTCAGAACACGATTTATGGTGTTCAGCTATTACAAAGGAATCACGAGCTAATTATTTCAAGTGCAATTATTAGCTGCTAAACATGAGAAATTCAAAACAAAGTCATTACAAATATCGAATCTAGTTTTACATATCCCCAAATATTCTACACCCGTGTTGTACCCTAAGGTAAAATATAAGTAAAACATATCAGTTTTTTACCGGTTGTTTTACAGAGAATAGCATCGCAGGAAATAGAGTCTAATTTGAATTGCATTCATGTGTTTAATCGTTAAAAGGATTTCAAAGAAAACTTTCTCTTAGGAATTATCACTTGTGTGTTTTAGCTTCCACAAAAGAATGCTTCCGATTTGGAAATAATTTGACAATTAGAAAAGTTTCCTCTTAATTCAAAATAGCATGTTTATTGAAGAAAACTTGAAAAAAATCCCCCAAACTACAAATATCTTAAAAAATATCAACAACCACACAATTTAAGACACACTATTAGCATTTTCAGTGTATCTTCTTCAAGTATCTTTTTACAGTAATAGTAATGGAATTGAAATCATAATTTTAATATTGCTTCTTAGGTCATGGGTATGCAAAGTACTTTCCATAGGCTATCTAATTTTGTATGTACAACTATACTTTAGGCTACATAATGTTACTTCCTTCATTCTACTGATGAGGGGACTGGTACACAGAGAGAAAATTGTCCAGGATTACAGAGACTATAAATCATGGAGTTGGGTTAGAACCCAGGTAATCTCACACCAGGTCTAGTGGTTAATCACGCTGGTATGTACTGATATAGGTATGATAAATGTAAATAAACATTTTCTAGGTCCAGATTTCCCCATGGATGTATCTGTTTAGTTTATGGAATATCACAGCCAGTGGTCTCTCAGTAATTTCCTGGTATTCAGTCCCATGTAGCCCTGGGCTATCCAGGGTATCCTACAGCAGATAACAGGTCCTTATGCACTTAGCCCATTTGATATGAATTTCTTCTCCCCACTCCCAAAAGGTTCTGATTCCTTGGAAGCTGTATGCTCATCAGTGCTTGGTGAAACTATTATTTTCAAGGTTCTCACTACTCATCTCCTATTTTATGAAGGACTTTACCTAAAAATGCTAGTGATCTCACATCACATTGTTTATGCCTAACCCTCTGTTTGGACCATCCGTTCCAAACAAGGCATTTATCCAAAGTTTTTAAGGTGGAGCTCAGATTAGTTTGCACAATTTCTCATGGATACTCATGCTGTATTCCTCAAACAAACGAACTTCATGAAGGGTCATTCTCTATTTTCCTGCATAGTTTGTCCAACAGAGGGGCAGGGTCTTTGGGACCCTCTGTACCCTCATTCCATTCTGGAGTAAAGACTTAAGTCAGCTTACAACTGGGTATTTCATCTTAGTTCAGATGACTCAAGGCAAATTCCCCCAAAGAGGACACAGGATTAGATGTTCCCTTATGTTGTGACCCCGAGTCCAGCCTTTTGCTCC